ACACACACACACACACACACACACACAAATAAATAAAATAAATTTTTTTAAAAATAAGCATTACAAAGGGTTCTTATGCTGCTGTCTGTGGAAATAAGTCCAGGATCCTAAATACCTAGTACCCAGGGCAAAAATAGCAGTGTACATGAGCTTTAGCTGTAGGAATGGAGAGAAAGCTACAACAGGATGTAGGGACTGACAAGCTACACACAGTAAGGAAGAGAGCCAAGATTCGCAGAGTGCTCAGATTCCAGCCTGAGAGAATGGCGGAACCAGTTTCAAACTGAAGAAGAGGAAGAGGAAGAGGTATGTTCATGAGGGCCTGTGGTAGGGGCAGGAAGCACTGTGATTTCCATCAGGACACCTTAAACCTGAGGTGCTGTGAGATTAGCCAACAACTCAGTAGTGTTTCTGGAGCCAGGGAGCTAGATCTGGGCTGGAGGTGCTGATTTTGGAGTCCTCGTTCACGAGGAAGTGCAGATGGTGATGGAGAGAGCACATGGAGTGAGAAACGGAAGGCAAAGAAGTGCTGTCTTTGAGGACGAGAACCCGGCAGCAAAGCTTGAGAAGGAACATTTTGTGAGAAACTCGGAAGAAAGCTGGCCGAGGGGCAGCATCAAGATGAATCTGCAGTCGGTCTGGATGGCTCTGCACCTGCTGGGCAGTGTGCGCATCCTGGTCGCCAAGTTTGCCCTTTTAGAATATTCTTATTGACTCCTGAATCTCTGCTGGAGGCAGGCGAAAGTGTGGCGTTCTAGAAATGTTAGCATAAATTCTGAAAGGGCTTTCATTAGCCCAAGCCTTTAGATGGTAGAGACTGTCTTCTGCTGCTCATAGCAGACCTTTGAAAAATGTGTGTTTAATGGGTTGCATTGGTTCACCTGTTGCATTTGGTGGGTTGCTGGTTTGCTTGAGTCTTAAGCACATGAGATAAATTTTTGTTTTTATTTTTAATTTCTTACTAGTAGTGTACATGTTTGCAGAATATAATGATTACATGCCTTGTGAAGAGTTGGTATACTACATGTATATAACAATTTTAATTATTTTTTTGGATTCTGGCAGTGATAAAATAAATTCACATATTAAAGATTTGCAACCAGAAGTTATTAATAATTTTAGGGTCGGGGAGATAGCTCAGCAGCATAAGCGCCTACCTACCAAGGATAAGGTCCCAAGTTCTATGCCCAGTACAGTAAAAAAAAAAAAAAAAATACATGGGCTAGTGAGATGGCCCATTGGTCTAAAGCACCTATTTAGAACAAGCTTAGCAAAGCACAATGGGACCGCGGTTCAATCCCCCAGCACCACATGCCAGCCAGCCCCGCCCCCTGGTGGGCTGAGCTGGCCACACACACACACACACACACACACAAATAAATAAAAAACATAACAATTTTAGCCAACTTTATAGATAGTTTCAAAGAATTTTAAAGACATTTGCTCAGAGTCTGTAGTATTTAGTCTCCCAGGATGATTATTTGAAGGAAATATCTTTCATCGAAGGACAGGTTTGGTCTGTTTGCATGAGATGAGCTGCACTTATTATAATGCCTATATCAGCACAAACGTTTTGACGTGCATATTTAAAAGGAGCTTGTCGGCCTGGAGGCAGAGGAACGCTGTGAGGAAGCGCTGAGCAGCAGCCTAGAAGGCCTGGGTTCAAAGCCGTATTCTGTCAGAAAGAAGGCCACTAAGACTCACTGGTCTTCCTTCCCTCATATCTAAATGAAAAGTTTTGTCTGGAGATAGTTAAGGTTTTATTTCAAAATTACATAATGCTGTTCCCAAAATCCCTAAGAATATTAAATTAGTTAGGCTCCAAGGCCAGGTATAGTGGTGCACGCCTGTAATCTCAGCACTTGGGAGGCTGAGACGGGAGGATCACTGCCAATTTGAGGCCAGCCTGGGCTACATAGCAAGTTCAAGGTGAGCCAGGATTATAGCAAGACCCTGTCTCAAGAGAAAGGGGAGGCCAGAAGCTCAGCGGATTAAAGCACCTGCTTAGGCAGGCGCAGGGACCGGGGTTCAATCTCCCCCACCCCCCGGTATGCCGATATGCCATGACAGCCCCAACCCCGGGGCACATTGAGATGGAGATTGAGACTGGGTGTGGTGGTGTGCACCTGTAATCTCAGTGCTTGGGAGGCTGAAAACAGAAGAATCACTTTGAATCTATCTGTATAGTGAGACCCTATAGACCCAGTGCTAAATACAAAAGGGGGGGAGACAAAAATAATGTTCTCCTCTTTATCAGTCCCTAACATTTAGCTCGTGTTGGACTTAATCCCATTCAAGTATAATATAAAGTAGTTGTTTCACTGTGTGTCTTTTTTTCAAAACAGGTTGGTGAGGTGGAGCACATTGAATTGTCTTCTGGCCGAGAATTTGAAAAGGCATTAGCTTCAAAACCTCTTAGCATTTCGGAAGAAGGTTGGTGGGGTTGTGGGGCCAAAGCCTGGCTTTGCTTAACCTGAAGGAATAGGAATTACTTTTTGGAGTGCCAGCAGTAGAATCATTTTCATAGAGGAGCTGAAGCTACCAGCTTTGCTGTTCTGAGGTTAAATTTGGTGGTTTTGCTTATTTGTTTTGTGGGGTTGTTTTGAGGGGGGGAGGCAGGAACCAAATACAGGGCTTTATGGGAAGTATGCACTTCAGTCCCTTCCCTCAGAATTATTTTTGTAATAATGCAATTAGCTCCTACTCAAGGCCATTTTGACTGTTTTCTTTTTTTGCTTTTTGTCTGAATGGCCAATAAACTCCTGGCTTTTATACCAGAATGGTACAAAGTGGCCTAGATCTCAATTTATGAGTTTTGAGCCACTGAGTACAGGTTGCTGGTACTTAAGGTTCAAATTAAACAGCCAAGCAGTGGTGGGCTATTTCGTTTTTCTTGAAAGACTGAAATTAGGGTACTTATGTTTTCATATTTTCCTGTATTTATAGCTGTTTATACAGTACTTGCATTTCTAATTTTTTTTGTTTGTTATTCCTGCCATTTTGGGGAGGTTAATTTGTTGACTTTTTCCTAACTCCATTCTTTCTTATTAACTATGTACATTCAAGATTATACAAGTTCCTGCATGGGCCCAGCCACAGATATTGATTGACATGTTATTTGGTGTCTTTAGGGCTAGTTTTATTATGTGGAATTGGGCTGTTTTTTTCATGATTGATTTCCATTTTTCATGTAATTAGATGAGTTATGTGATAATACTAGATTTTAGATATTTGATAACATATGCTTTGTGAGCTGGGTGTAGTGACACACACTTATAATCCCAGCCTTGGGAGGCTGAAGCAGGAGTCCAGCCTGGGCAACTTAGTGAGACCCTGTCTCAAAATAAAAAGTGAAAAGGGATATGGATGCAGTTAAATGGTGTAGTGCTCTTGGGTGTAATTCCTAGTGGCTAAAAAAATTCCTTTGTGGCCTAATATATGGAATTAGTTTTTATAAATAAGTACTTTCTATTGGGTATGTGTGTATGTATGTGTATATGCATTTCATGTTCTTTAAATAACTAGACAAGATCATGCTTGAACTATCAAGCATAATCAGTGTTCAATTCTTACGTTTACTGCCATATTTGTACTAATCTTTTGCTCTTGTTTCTTGTTTTCTTTTTCTTTATTTTTTTCCCCACTTTTGGCCTTTTATTGACTGCATTTTCTACATTGGCCTTTTCTCTGTTAATTCAGAAAATGCACATTTAATGATTAAAACTTGCTCTTAAATTTCCAGCATTCATAGCTGAATTAAAATTTAAGGTAAAAAAGCCACTCAGGAGGCTTAGCAAGAGAATCACTTTGAGTTTAAGGCCATCCTGAGGTACGTAAGAGTTGGAGGCCAGCCTGAAGTATAGACAAAGATCCTGTCTCAAAATTAAAAAAAAAAAAAAAAAAACCCTAAAAGTAAAGGTGAATATATCTACCTCCCAATAATGACTTTAACCTGAATTTATTACTTTTATCTTCTCTAATACTGTTTTTTAAAAAATATATTAGATCTACCCTGTTGTGGCCCTCTCATTTACTCTTCCTTATTTTTTATTTTATTTATTTATTTATTTATTTATTTATTTATTTATTTATTTATTTTTGTGGAACTGGGGATTGAACTCAGGCCCCTGAGCTTGCCAGGGAAGCGCTTCTTCCTCTGAGCCATCTCCCCGACCCCCTTATTTTTTATTAAGTACATACTGGTTTGGGTTCCTGGATAGGTTCATCAGTTGCTTTGCTCATAGTGACTTCTGTCAAGCATTTTTAATTGGAATAATGTGACATTTTCTGTTTTCTGCTTTGCCAGCAGTTGTTTCTTATGCAACCACTTTTAAGGACTGAGATTCCTTCTCCTTTCCAAGTTCTTCACTTTTATCTGTGAATGATCAGTTTTACCAATCTTTGCAAATACCTTTAATTTTACTATTATTTTTTAGTCGTAGCTTGTAGAGTATAAAATTCTAGGGTTCTAAGTCAAGAATTGCCTTTAGCATTTTAAAGATATTATTGCATTATCTACTGACATCTCTAATCACTTCTGCTGACACAACTTCCACTGCCTGTGTGCTGTAGTCTAATTGTTGTTCTTTTATTCCTTTTTTTAATCATTTACTTATTTATTTGGTACCGGCTCACAGTAAGCAGCTCGGACTCGTAGTGATCCTCCTGTTTTCAGCCTCCACAGCGCTGGGATTACAAGCGTGAGCTGCTACAGCCAGCTTCGGCGACCCAGTGTGGGGCTGGCAAGGCATGCGGTGCCAGGAGTCAAACCTGGGTCTTACCGTTGTCAGGCAGGCGCTGTGACTGCTGAGCTGTCTCCCTGGCCCTGTTCTTTTATTTCTGCTTAAAATTTTCTGGTTTTGCTTCTTAGATACAGTGTGTCTAGGTGTGTATTCCTTTTTATTTATCTTCTCCTAAAGTAAAGACTATTTTCAGTGTGACGGCTTTGGGGGGCTTCATGCGTTATCTTTTGGACTATTGCTTCTACCCCACTCCAAAAACATCATTTGAGGTATGTTGGACCTACTTGCTCCTATTTCTTTTAATCAGTTTTTCATAATTTCTTCCTCTTTATCTCAATTATCTGTTCATGGTAATTTCTTCAGATAGTTTACTAATTATTTTTTTGCTGCCATATCTTATTTGCTATCTATTCATTATGATTTTAAATTTGGTGACTATGTTTTTGGTATCTAGAAGTTCTTTCCTTTTCAAACCTGTCTTGTTTTTACATTATTATTTTTTAAGAGAAATTTTAAAAATAGATAAAACATTAGAAATTATACATAATTTCAAAAACAAGATGATAGGAATTCAACAGGTTTTTTTTTTTAATTATTGTTTCTATGCTTTTTTTTTTTTTTTTTTGGTGGTACCAGAGATCGAACTCAGGACCTTGTGCTTGCCAGGCAGGAGCTTATGCTGCCCAGCTGTTTCCCCAGCGCCCATTTCAAATTTTAGAACAAATTAGTTCACTATACTATAGAAAACTCAGAAAAATATGTTGCAAACTCCTTTTGTTCTTTTTTAAATTATTGTTTATTTGTTTATTGAGATGGGGGTCTCACTAACCAGTTTAGGCTGGCCTTGAACTCCAGCCCAGGCTGGCCTCAGACTTGTTTAGATCCTCCCACCTCAGCCTCCCAAAGAGTGCTGGGATTATAGGCGTGCCCCGCCCCGCCCCGCCCAGCATTGTTACAGACTTATAATATGTTTGTGTTGCCATGTGATAACATGAGCAGTTGTTACAGTGTTTTCATGATTATTTTCACTGTTTTCTTTCCATTGTGATGTGCTCTGGATTAGTGCATTTCCTGAGTCATATGGAGGAGGAAGATCAAAGTGACAAAGAGAAGATGTCAGAAGCTGAATTTTCAGTAACAGAAAATCATTCTAGTCAGAAAACTTATGTGTTCCCTTCTGCCGATTCAGCTGTCAGCCTTTCCAGTGACCAGAATATTACTTTGACTGGTATTGTTCTTCAGATTGTTTTGTATATGCACACTCTTATTTTCCATTATTATTTTGCTGAACTATATCCCCTGAGAATATATTAATGGTTTGTGAAGTTATTTTGTAATACTTATTCCAGGGGAAGGAAAATTAAAACTTGGCTCACTCACAAGAATTTTATAAAATATACTTCAGCCATGCATTATATATCTGTGTAACATATTAATGCTAAATATATAGCAACTGGAATTATAGTGTTTGATTTTTACAAAACTTGAGACATTTAAACACTGACAATTATCAGAACTTTGAATTTTAACTTGAAAACAAAATATAGATTTACTGAGTCTCAATCATATGTGAGGCATCAACTGTTTTGTTTGTGTAGACCCTTGCTTAATCCTGATCAATGTAGAAAATCAGTTATTAACTCTGTTTATAGCTGAGAGTATTGAAACTTAGGTTTAGTTGGAAGTGGCATTAAAAGTAGCTTGCTTTTTTTTTTTTTTTTTTTGCAGAATCAGGGATTGAACTCAGGCCCTTGTGCTTGCCAGGGAAGCGCTTATTCTACTGAGCCATCTCCCTGGCCCAAAACTAGCATTCTTATAGCTCAGTGGACTAAGCGCTTGCTTAGGCAAGTGCAGGGGCCACCCTGGCACCACATGCCATGCCAGCCCTGCCCACCAGGCATGCTGAGCGGGTGATGGAGTCCGGGCGTGGTAATCCCAGCACAGGAAGCTGAAAACAGGAGGCTCACTGTGAGTCTGAGCTGCATAGTGAGACACTGCACAAAAAGAAAGAAAAAAAGCATTCTTTACTCCTAATGAATATGGGTTTGTAATATGAATAATAGGTACAGTGTTTTTCTTGACTCAAAAAAGTAGATAAAATATTTTCTGTGAGTCAGTGTATGAGTACAAACTTAGAAAAAAATCATATTTTTATAAAGATATTTAGATCATCTAATGGGTGTTTTCTCCAAAGTTGGCAACTTAGAAAAATGTGTTGTCTTTTTGCTGTAATGACCAAAAATAGCTTAGATTTTCCTCTTTTGCAGTTAACTTCCATTTTTTGGTGCATTTCTTCGAATATTCTTAGTGCCAAATAATTTATTCACTGAGGATATATTTAATGTTTGGTAGCAGCCGTAGTATACCCAGAGCTCTGCTGATACATGATAAGTAGCCAGGCTGTCAGTGTTTAGAATTAGAGGTAAGGAATCAGAGCTTTCAAGGAATTAAATTGATGGTTATATTTAATTGTCTGCATAGGCAGTCATAAAAGAGTTCCCAAAGTGGCTTGAAAATGAAGTAATAAGAGACCTTCCTTATGCAACTACCTTTAAAGGTATTCTATACAGTACTGCTTTAATGCAAGAACAATGTTTTTTTAAATGTATTTGGTACAGGTCTGCAGGGTCTCACTACATAGATGGGACTCATAATGATTCTCCCCTTTTCAGCCTCCCAAGCGCTAGGATTACGGGAATGCATCACCACACCAGTCTCAGTTGCCATCTCAGTGTGCCCCAGGAGCAGGGCCAGCACAGCACTCCAGGGATCGAACCCCAGCTGCTGAGTTCTGCCTAATCAGGCACTTTAGTCTGCTGAGTTATTCGGCTGACCCTATGAGAATACTGTTTATTACTGATCACATTTTTAGTTGACTAGTCTGTACTCATCATTGTCATTTTTGTTTCAGGAGTTGAGGCTTTGGTTTCTTTTTCTTTTGTTTTTCTTTCTTTTCTTTTTTTTTTGAGATAGAATGGAATTCAATGCTGGAATTACAGACTCAGCTAGAGGCTCTTCTTAACAATGATATGGCTAGGTATAGTAGCACACACCTGTAATCCTAGTACTCAGGAGGCTGAAGCAGGAGGTTTGCAGAATAAGGCCAACTTGGACTACACAGTGAGTTTATGTATTTATTTATTTATTTTTTGGTGGGAGGGTCTACAGGATGTTCAGGGTCTCACTACTAGATCGGACTTGTAGTGATTCTCCTGTTTACAGCCTCCCAAGTGCTGGGATTGTAGGCATCCCCACCATGCCCAGTCTCAATCACTGTCTCAGCACACCTGGATATAGAACCCCCGGCCCCAGCAGGCACTTTAATCCGCTGAACTATTTGGCCAGCCCTTACATAGTGATTTTAAAGATAGTGTGAACTGTTGTAACTCAAAAATGAGGCAGGCTCCAAAAGAAAGAAGCGCTGTATTTTAGCTGGTACCCAGCGGCAACCACCCGGGCAAGACGCTGAGGTGCATGCCGGGAGGATGAGGGGAGTGGGTATTTAAGCCAATAGACTGCAAAGGAGTGATGTCAACGATTCAACTAGGGGCTACAGTTGAAAAATTACCTGTTTTTAATGAACAATAACAGGTGCACTGGTGGGTACAGTTTGTATCTAGGAACAAGGGCAAGAACAGGACATGGGGCCAGAACTAGATTCAGGTGTGCACAAAGGACAGCGTGAGAAAGGCCCAACTGCAGGTTCTCAAGGAGAGAACGGGGCACAGTGGAAAGTTAAAGCATTTAGGATGGTGCGTACAGAACAAGATGGCAGTGCATATGTCAGGTTTTAACATGAACTATATAATGAAACCTTGTCTGAGAAAAAGAAAACATGTAAGACAGTTTATCTTTAAACATGAAGTTGTTCATTTGAACTGCACTTGTTACCAGAATTCTGCAAAAAGATGTTTTCTTTTAAGAGTAGTGATTGAGGGGCTGGAGAGATCGCTCAGTAGAGTAAGCGCTTGCCTGGCAAGCACAAGGCCTTGAGTTCAATCCCCAGTTCCACAAGAAAATAAATTAAAAAAAAGTAGTGATTGAGGGCCAGCCATAGAACTCAGTGGATTAAAGCACCTACAAGCAGGCACCTGGGGCACGCTGAGACAGCAATTGAGACTGGGCGTGGTGGCACTTGCCTGTAATTCCAGCACTTGGGAGGCTGCAAACGGGAGAATCACTATGAGTCTGATCTAGTAGTGAGACCTTGAACAACCTGTAGACCATTCCCTAAAAATACAAAAAAAGAAAGTAGTAATTGAATTAAAACTTGGCTAGTTTTGACAAGGTTTGTCCATGCTGTGGCTACTGTTGCCATGAGAGAAACTTGTTGCTCACTTACATTCATGACTAAAACTTCAGTGTTTGACCTGAGAGCTCATGTCTGAGCTTAATCTCACCCATTTTGCTCATCAGTCTAAACAGTGCTAGAAGAGAATCCTTCAAGCTCCCGTCATGAATTGTATCTTACTATTGGACTCTCCCTTAGAAGTATCTTGTTCTCTATAGCAAAATTAAAAAGTTATATTATTGCAGTTACTATAATCTTAGATTTATGTGAAGTATTTCCCTCATAGTTAAATTTAATTGCTGAAAAAAACCTATCTTCATCAATAAAAAAAATAATAATAATAAATAAATTTAATTGCTGATAGCCAGCCTGGTGGCACATGCCTGTAATCCCAGCACTTAGAAGGCTAAGGCAGGAGGCTTTTGGCGAAGTCAAGACCAGCCTGGGCTACAAAGCGAGCTCAAGGGCAGCCTGAGCTGCATAGTGAGAGCCTGTCTCAAAAAGACTTAAGAATAAAAAAAAATTCTCAGAATTTAAGAACCAAAATTTAAAAAAACCTTGTGAATAAATAGAAAAATAGTTGCTTATTAAAGAAAAATTATTTCATATTGAAAACATGTGGATATATGTCTTAAGATCAAGTTTAGTTTATCAGTGTTTTCTTTCTTTCTTTTTTTTTTTTTTCAGAACCAGGGATTGAACTCAGGCCCTTGCACTTGCCAGGGAAGCTTATTCCACTGAGCTGTCTCCCCGGCCCCTTAATTTATCTTAGTTTAGTAAAATCTTAAAATTTTTTGAGATGAAATTTCAGAATGTGGGCTGGCCAAATAGCTCAGCGGATTAAAGTGCCTGCTTAGGAAGATGCAGGGGCTGGTAGTTCAATACCCAGGCCTGCCATGTTGGCCCTGCCCCCAGGGCACACTGAGACTGAGATTGAGACTGGGTATGGTGGGACTTGCCTATAATCCCAGCACTTGGGAAGTTGTAAACGTGAGGATCACTATGAGTCTGAGGATCACTATGCAGTGAGACCCTGTACACTCTGTACATCCTGTCCTAAATACAAAAAGAACAAAATTTCAGAATGCTTTCCTTATATCAATTTTGCTTTCAGAGTTAAACATATGTACAATTTTATTGTTTTACTTTATTTATTTATTTATTTTTTTGGCGGAACCGGGGATTGAACTCAGATCCTTGCGTTTGCCGGTCAAGCGCTTATCCTACTGAGCCATCTCCCCGGCCCCTATTGTTTTACTTTAAAGGTATATAGTTCATAGTGGATCCTATTCTTCAAGTAAATTGCTTCTTGGGTTTAAATTAGATATTTTTCACAATGTATTATTTTTAAATCACCAGAGTTTACTATTTTGCTTATAAGTAAGTTGCACTTTTATACTCTTAACTCTCGTAGTTACTTTTCATGTTGAGATAAAATAAGCAGGAGGATGGCAGACAAGCATTGCAAAGGAGACACCGTCCATGGCGGAGCAGGAGGGAGCCACCAAGCAGCCAGCAGCCACCTGAGGCTCACCTTTCTCTTTTACTCCATCCGGGCTACAAAGCTTTTGGGTGGCCCCACCACACCCAGAGTGGGGCTTCTGTTATCCAACCCCCAAACTATGATAAACGAGTTAGTAGATGAAATCAGTACCCCCATGCTCTTAATTCCTGTATCACACCCTTAATCCACATTCATATAACCTAGATCCAGCCACTTCTGAAAAGCCCCAGCTGTGACCACATGGGGCTTTCGGAGACATCTCCATGTAAGCCGAGACACTTTTTTGACATTGGGAATCAACCTCTGGACCTGATGCCTGCCAGGCAGGCACTGTGCTACTGAGCTGCATCCCCAGTTTAACACTATCTTCTAAGCAAAGAACTGTG